AGAGGAGCACAAAGAGAAGAAGGATGGAAGGTAGCGGGATGATGGTGAGGCGGAGGAGAAGGAGGAGGGGTGGGAAGGACTGGAGGACGAGGATGAGAAGCAGGAAGACAGAGAGGAAAACGGGGGCGCTCGCGAAGAGGAAGAGGAGCAGGAAAGACGAGGACGAGGAAGGTGGGCGAGGGGCCACCAGGAGGCCCAGTAGAAGCCGAAACGTTATCGTGGCCGCCGCCGGACACGATCGCCATCTCCGCCGCCATCACTGGTGCCACCGCCCACGCCACCGCTGGCGGCGGCGATGGCGACATCTCGAGGGAGAAAACTCATCATTCACATGAGCTGTTGGCGCTCCGCGCGGATTTCTTGAATCCGCGCTGGGCCCCCCTGGCGGCGCCTCCAGCGCGGCCCCTGGCGCGCTCCGCGCGCCGGGGAGGGGGGTCCAGCGCAGATCTAAGAAATCCGCGCGAAGCGCCAAACGTTTATTACCCATATCCTAAGATGGGGTTCTTGTTATTACTCGGACGCCGCCGACACCAGAGAGAACACACCTACTCATACACATATTTACTCATACTCAGACGCACTCATACTCATATTTTCTCATGGTCTGACTGACTTACTCAACACTCAACATGCAGGCCTACTCATACTCAGACTTACTCATGCTGGAACTCCTTCATACCCAGACTCGTTCCCAGACCTGCTCTTACACAGACTTACTCATACTCAGACTTACACATGCTCAGACCTTCTCATAGTCTGAGTTACTCAACGCACGGACTGAGACCTACTCCTACTCAGACCTAGTCATACTCAGACTCGCAAGGGGAGCCGCCAGGGGTGTTGTCTCGGGCCCGTTCGCGGCCAGTTTGTGGGGATGTCTCAGGCGGTTTGCTCGGTTTCATGCCCAACATCCTTTGCTTTCAGAGCAGATTGTGAGGATGTCTCAGGCGGGGCTCTGTATTCAGCACCCCTAAGGGGAGCCGCCAGGTGGTGTTTTCACGGGCCCGTTCGCGGCCAGTTTCTGAGGATGTCTCGGGCGGTTTGCTCGTTCTCATGCCCAACATCATTGGCTTGCAGAGCAGATTGTGAGGATGTCTCAGGCGGGGCGCTGGTTTCAGCACCCCTAAGGGGGGCCGCCACGGGAGGTTTTCACGGGCCCGTTCGCAGCCAGTTTGTGGGGATGTCTCCGGCGGTTTGCTAATTTTCATGCCCAACTTCCTTAGCTTTCAGAGCAAATTTTGACCATGTCTCAGGCTGGGCGCTGGTTTCAGCATCCTTAAGAGAAGCCGCCAAGAGTGTTTTCACTGGCCCGTTCGCGGCCAGTTTCTGGGGATGTCTCAGGCGGTTTGCTTGTTTTCATGCCCAACATCCTTTGCTGTCAGAGCAGATTGTGAGGATGTCTCAGGCGGGGCGCTGGTTTCAGCACCCCTAAGGGGAGCCGCCGGGGGTGTTTTCACGGGCCCGTTCGCAGCCAGTTTGTGGGGATGTCTCCGGCGGTTTGCTCATTTTCATGCCCAACATCCTTGGCTTTCAGAGCAAATTTTGAGGATGTCTCATGCTGGGCGCTGTATTCAGCATCCCTAAGGGGAGCCGCCAAGAGCGCTTTCACGGGCCCGATCGCGGCCAGTTTGTGGGGATGTCTCAGGCGGTTTGCTCATTTTCATGCCCAACATCTTTGGCTTTCAGAGCAGATTTTGAGGATGTCTCAGGCGGGGCGCTGGTTTCAGCACCCCTAAGGGGAGCCGCCAGGGGTGTCGTCTCTAGCCCGATCGCGGCCAGTTTGTGGGGATGTCTCAGGCGGTTTGCTCATTTTCATGCCCAACATCCTTTGCTGTCAGAGCAGATTGTGAGGATGTCTCAGACGGAACGCTGGTTTCAGCACCCCTTAGGGGAGCCGCCAGGGGGTGTTTTCACTGGCCCGTTCGCGGCCAGTTCCTGAGGATGTCTCAGGCGGTTTGCTCGTTCTCATGCCCAACATCATTGGCTTGCAGAGCAGATTGTGAGGATGTCTCAGGCGGGGCGCTGGTTTCAGCACCCCTAAGGGGGGCCGCCACGGGGTTAGGACACGGGCCCGTTCGCGGCCAGTTTCTGGGGATGTCTCAGGCGGTTTGCTCGTTCTCATGCTGCGAGGAAGGAGATGAGGCGTGCTGCTCCCTTGGGTCGTCTTCCGGCACGTACCTTCTGGGACGCACGGAGGAAGGAGTCGAGGCGTGCTGGTCCCTTTGGATCGTGCTCCGGCACGTACCTTCTGGGACGCACGGAGGAAGGAGTCGAGGCGTGCTGGTTTCTTGGGTCGTGTTCCGGCACGTTCCCTCTAGGACGCACGGAGGAAGGAGTCGAAGCGTGCTGGTCCCTTGGGTCGTGCTCCGGCACGTACCATCTGGGACGCACGGAGGAAGGAGTCGAGGCGTGCTGGTCCCTTTGGGTCGTGCTCCGGCACGTACATTCTGGGACGCACGGAGGAAGGAGTCCAGGCGTGCTGGTCCTTTTGGATCGTGTTCCGGCACGTACCTTCTGGGACGCACGGAGGAAGGAGTCGAGGCGTGCTGGTCCCTTGGGTCGTGCTCCGGCACGTACCTTCTGGGACGCACGGAGGAAGGAATTGAGGCATGCTGGTCCCTTGGGTCGTGCTGTGGCACGTACCATCTGGGACGCACGGAGGAAGGGGTCGAGGCGCGTTGGCCCCTTTGGTCGTGCTCCGGCACGTACATTCTGGGACGCACGGAGGAAGGAGATGAGAGAGGATGCGTGCTGCCCCCTTGGGTCGTGCGCTGGCACGTACCCTCTGGGACGCGCGGAGGAAGGAGATAAGGCGCGCTGCTCCCTTGGGTCGTGTTCCGGCACGTACCCTCTGGGGCGCACGGAGGAGACTGCAGGAATAAGAAGGCCTGGGGCACATTCTCAGGCCACTTGAGTCGAAAGCATGGGGAATGCTGTCGTTGTTTTAGCTTCTGGGTTTCTATGATTTTTGGGCCCCGGGGGTTCCTGTCGCTCGCAAGTGGGGACGTTGTAAGGCATGGCCATATTTTTCTATTGTTCGATGGTTGTTGTTTTGTGTTGTTTTCTGGTTTTTTGTCGTTTCGGAGGTCCCCGGAGGAGTCCTCTGCGATCAGGGGGCGGGGGCAAAGTGCGGACGGTTAAAGCTGAGGTGCAGGTCGCGAGGTGCCGTTTAAGACACTTGCGACTCGTCCCCCCACTGGTGCTTCGGACGCGGCGCCGAAGGAGTTCCCTGCCTTGACAAAAAAGATGCGCGGGCATATGCGCGTTAATGAACGCATGCGCGTGGTGGATGTGCAACCGCGTTGCGCGCACGTGTGCTCGCCGCTCGCTTGGACGCGCTCGCGAAGCAAACAACTATCATGGGCAAGTGCTCGCCGATTCACTATCCTACAACATGATATGCACATGTGGCCTTGCGTGGCTAAGCGCTCGTTTTACAGATCCCACTGCCAAGGATCCTAAAACATACGCACACTACCACAGGCTGAGGAGGGCGCGGCCTGGCAGCTGAGAGTGGGGAATGAATGGGAGGCTCATGTTCAATCATTTTCAAAGCTCACTCTGACTCATACTCACTCACTCGCATACGTATTCGCTCGTATTCGTCGGCCCTGTCGTCCATGTGGACGCGCTATTATAGTCAAGCGCTCATGGACAGACGCTCACTATGGCATGCCATAAAACATGAGATGCACAAAAAAGGGGGCTCCACGCAGTGAGTAATGTTTATGGCGTTCTTTCTTCTTCTATCATCGCCGTCCTCCGACCAGAATCTGGCTAACAGCCTGTCCCCAGACACGGACCCTGCCTTGACTCCAGCCTGGTGTCCGTTCTTTGTGTATGGTTTCGCCGATCGGCGCGGGCCCCCGCCCCCCCTTCCCACCCCCTAAAGAGCAAATGTTGGCTGCTTTCCGGCGGTTCCTGGCTACTGGTCAGGGCCCGCCCCCCGTCTGCTTGCGCGACTTAGAGAAGCAGATCGACCAAACACCAGGCCAGACACCCCACCCTCCCCCACCCTTCGGCCAAATGTCGAAACCCAAAATGCAAAGACGCCTACTTGGCCCGTCCTCTGAGCGCACCCGCCCGCGGCGACGCCGTCGCCGTCGTTCTGCGCCCCACGCCGCCGCCGCTGCTGGCGGCGGCGGCGGCGAGGTCGACGGCTTCGGTGGCGAGGGGCACGCCGCCGCAGGCCAGGTCGACGGAGACGGCGGCGGCGGCGGGGCGCGGCCATCTCCTCTTCCTCCTTCTCCTGCACCTCCTCCTCCTGTTCCTCCTCCTTTTCCTCCTCCTCCTCCTCCTCCTCCTCCTCCTCCTCCTCCTCCTCCTCCTCCTTTTCCTCCCCCTCATCATCATCATCACCACCACCATCATCATCATCATCATCATCATCATCATCATCATCATCATCATCATCATCATCATCATCATCCCCCTCCTCCTCATCCTCCTCATCCTTGCTGGGAGCTGGGCGCGTCTTGACACTGCCATTGCTGCCCCCGCCCCTTCGATCAGCGCCACCGACTCGCGTGACCGCCTCGTCCCCGTCGTCGTTGTCGGCGTCGTCGTCGCGTTCGTGGTGCATGTTGCTTTTTTTGGCATTTGATTTTTTTGATGCAGGGTCAACCCCCACCTCCTCGTCCTCCTCCTCCCTTGGCCAGCTGCTGCATCGTGGAGGCCACTCCCCGTCGGCTGGGAAGCCGGCGCTCTCTGGGACGACCCTTCCTGTTTGAACCCCCCTTCCATTTTTGGCGGACCCTCCACTGGTGCGGTGACCAAACCGCGTAGTGAGTCAGTGGGGATTCGGGCTCACCGCGCGGGTTTTGGACCCTGGTCGTTCACTGAGGATGTCTCGGGCGATTGGGGCCTCCGAGGTCCCAAGACCGTGCAGTGACGGACCGTGCCGTGACATCTGCGGGATCTCGGGGACACCGCACAGTCTGTCTCCGCGCCGCTTCGGGACCCTTCCTCCCTGGGGTCGGCGCGCGGCGGCGACGGCCCAGGCTGGGCGCGGCGTGCCCGCTGCTGCATGTGCAACCTCCGAGCGGCGTGCCGGGGCCTCCGGGCGGCGCCACGCCCAGCGAGTCGTCGAGCAACCGCGCCAGCCGCGCCAGCCGCGCCAGCCCGGCGATCCAGGCCACCGCGATCCAGGCCGCCGCGACGCCGCCGTCGGTCGCGTCCCAGTCTCCGTCCTCAAGGCTCGAGGGGTGTCTCGGGCGGCCTTCGGTCGAAAATCTGCTCAGAGACCGCGCCGGCACGGCGGCGCAGGCAGTCGCCGCCGCCGCCGTCGTCGTCCGCGTCGTCTTCGTTGCCGCCGTCGTCTGCGTCGCCGCCGTCATCGCTGCCGCCGTCGTTGTCGGTGTCGTTATCCTCGTCGCCGCCGTCGTCGCCCACCGCCGTCGTCCTCCTCGCCGCCGTCGTCATGCCCATATTCGCCGCCGTCACCGGCGTCGAGATTGTCGGGTGGTTTACGAAGGGTCTATCGGAGGCGACACTTTTAGACGTCTTCAGCCGCGCCAGCCTGGGGACGCGAGCAGTCGTCGCCGCCAGCCGTCGTAGCCGCAGGCCGCCCTGATTGCAGCTTTTGGTCGTTCTCTCGGAAGCCCGCCTCGCCGACACGGCCGTGTGCGGCCCAGAGTGGCTGGTCCCGGGACGGAGGGCCGCGGGTCTGAGCACGGCGTCGTCGTCGCCGCCGCCGCCGTCGTCGGCATCGTCGTCGTCACTGAGGAACCACGGGGGGGGCGGACCGCGGCGGGCAAGTGAGGGGGAGGGGGGGTAGGTGGAGGAGGAGGAGGAGGAGGAGGAGGAGGAGGAGGAGGAGGAGGAGGAGGAGGAGGAGGAGGAGGGGGCATTGGGGTGTCGAGGGGAAATATAGCGGATGGTGGCAAGTGGCGTCATAATGTCAGAGTTGCCATGGAGGTGGAGTTACGTGGGCACCCCTCCATGCGGCCGTCTTCGTTGGGGGAGGGGGAGGGCCTGTAGGGGGCCGTGGGAGGGGCCTCGGCCCCTTCCGGTGCCTATTGACGGCGTGGCGTGCTGGTGAAATGGTGGGAGAGGGCGTGCCCCGAGCGGCCCTTATCCTGGCAGCTGCGAGGGGTCTGAGGTCTGTGGTGGTCCTCACCGGTGAGGCCCAAAATGGTCCTCACCAGGATGGGATAAGAAGGCCAGAGGTTGAAGCAGATGTCCGACAGCAGCAGCCTAGGAGGGATACCTGAATGAAAAGGGCACATACAAATAACGCATTACCTCCGCCTGTGAAGCCCCACAGGATCGTTCCAGGATTCAACCCCGACCCCCAACACAGAGGTAGGGGAAAGGGGGCGGAGGGCAACGGGAAGGAGGAGGAGGGGAGGATAGAACGCAAAATGGAGCAGGAGGAACGGGAAGGAGGAGGGGAGGAGGGGACAGAATGGGAGCAGGACTTACTCGTGTTCACTGTGCTTTGTTTGAAATGGAATGCCATTTTGGGGGATGTTTCTTTCGTTCGGGTGACGCCACATCCCGAGCGATCTGCTTCCAGACCACCAGCGATTGCATTACCCCATGAAGCGCACACCCGAGAACATGAAGGCAATGAGCACATGAGCACCCCGAAGACTTCGAGTTCAAACAGTTCTACATAATACAAAGAGAGCAGCGCGTTATCATTCTGTGAGTCGGTTCAGATATTTCGGGTGTTCTGGGCATCTCCCTAGGTTTAAGTGGTGTCGTTTGTTGATTGCAGGCCGTAACGAGTAGTGCTGCGATTAGCCTAAGGCTACAAATATTGCATGGTTGACTTGTCGACACCATATCGGATTTATTCGCTATCGGGGCCCAATGCCTGATTTCGTCACGCCCCCGCGGCACATTGGCTGCTCCGGCCAGGCCCCAGTGTACGGAGCTTCCAGATGGCAAGATGTCGAGTGATAAGAATACCCGCGTGGCGTGCCCCCGAGGAACTCAGCAGGGAGGGGATGAAAAAATGGGAGAGCGAAAATGAAGGACGCGATGGCGATATTAGTTCTTCCTGCCGCATTCAAAATCACGACAGGAGCAGCAGTTGGCGGCGCCGTCCCCTGGGATGGCGCTGCTGGCGCCGCCGGCGCGTGAGGGCGATGGCCCCCCAGCCGTCCACGGGCCCCTCGATATATGGCGTCCCCCTCGTTCGCCAGCTCTGGAAATCTCCGAGGCTAACCAGCATGATCGAGAAATTGCTCTCGTGGCACCACAGTCTGGGCCTCCGAGATGGGGTCGGAGGAGATGGGCCCGGAGGATCGCTCCGCATCGCTGGTGCATTGACGGTACGGCCCGATGTGGGGCCCGATGTTCTCTTCGCCGACGGCGCCGATGCATCGCCGACATCGCCGATGCATCGCCGTTGCATCGGCGATACATCGCCGATGCATTGGCGATGTGGCACGATTCTCCGACCCCATCTACTTGGATCCCATCCAGGAGTCGTCTAGGACATGTGCTGGGGACTGGCGAGCATGCGCGTATCTCCCATCAGCCCACTCCTCTAAGACCTTGCGGAGGAAATCGGTCTCGAGGCGATGCCCGTGCAACACGTGCGTCGACAGTTTGAGCACGTTGCCGATTCCGTCGGGGAGTGCGACCGAGTTCCGCTCCACTTGGTGAGCCTTGTTGGCCTCAAGTGTGACGTGTGGGTGCAGCACGGATGCGCCGTGGCCACGTGCAGCGTGGTGACGGGCTTCCAGGGTTTTTCGCGCGGGAGCATTCGGGGGCCTTGTGCAGGGTCCCACGCGGGCGCGGTGGAAATTGCGCGTGGCACCCGCCCCCCGAAGGGATTGGCGCCATGATCGCGATCGTGAGTTGAAGTGGGCCACGCTGAGCTCTTGGAATTAAGTGGCAACGGGAATGTTTGACAATCGTCGCATAACATCGAATCGCATAGCATAGCGTGGGATCGCAAAACATAAACCAGCACGGCGTAGCGTAGCATAACATAAGCCAGCATAGCGTACCATAGCATCGTATAGGATGGCATGGCATAGCATATCATAGCACGGCAGAGCCTAACGTAGTGAGCAGGGGGACGAAGACCAGGAGGAGATGGAGGAGAAGGAGGAGGAGGAGGAGGAGGAGGAAAAGGAGAAAGAGGCGGATGAGGAAACGGATGATGATGAGGGGGATGAGAAGGAGGAGGGATGAGGAGGAGGAGGCGGAGGAGGAGGAGGAGGCGGAGGCGAGGACGGAGAAAGGGGAGGAGGAGGAGAGGAGGAGGAGGGAGGAGGGAGGAGGAGGAGGATAGGAGGAGGAGGGAGGAGGAGGAGGAGAGGAGAGGAGGAGGGAGGAGGAGGAGAGGAGGAGAGAGGAGGAGGGAGAGGGAGGGAGGAGAGGAGGAGGAGGAGGAGGAGGAGGAGGAGGGAGGAGGAGGAGGGAGAGGAGGAGGAGGAGGCTAGGAGGAGAGGAGGAGGAGGAGGAGGAGGATGAGGCGAGGAGGAGGAGGAGGAGAGCGGAGGAGGAGGGAGAGGAGGAGGAGAGGAGGAGGAGAGGAGGAGAGGAGGGAGGAGGGAGGAGGAGGGGGGAGGAGGAGGAGAGGAGAGGAAGAGGAGGAGAGGAGGAGGAGGAGGAGAGGAGGAGAGGAGGAGGAGGAGGAGGAGAGGAGGAGGAACAAGAGGAGAGGGAGAAGGAGGATGAGAAGGGCGAGGATGTATGGGGGATCGGCGAGAGGGCCCCAAAGCCCAGCCCAGTGCGCAATCGATCGAGAAGCCTTTGGGGGGGGGAGAAGGACACGTCAAGCAGGGACGATACTGTGTTTTTTGGATGACAGTTGACAATGCAAGATCGCGCAGCGCAGTGCCAGCACGTTTCGTTCGTGCCCCACTTATACCACTCGCAGCACGAGCGGCAGGCCCCCCTCACGCAATGGCGCCCGAGCTGGTTCCTGCCGCAGCCGTCGCACATCTAGGTCGCGGGCTTCGGCCAGGTGTTCGGCGGCGGCTTGTCGCCCGCGCGGTGGCGCTGGGCACGGAGCAGCTTCTTGTTGAGCCAGCCCTGGCCCTGCGTCTGTGTATTTCTCCAGTGGGCCCACCCCTGCGGCGGTGGTGGGTCCCCGCCGCCGCCGCTGGCGGCGCTGGCGCAGGCGCCGATGTCGCTGGCGGCGGCGGCCACTGCGTCGGTGGCGACTTGAGCGGCCGCCTGGGCCGCCACGGTAGCCACCTCTTTGGCGGCATGCGATGCCGAAGCAACCATTTGGAGTTGGGCCTCCTTGGCGGCGTCGGCGGCCCCCTGTGAAGCGAGCCTCGCCCCAGCCGCTGTCTGCTGCTGTGCCGACGCCATCTGGCCGCTCTGCTCCTGCATGGTATCCGACGTCCGCGTGAGCTCCTTGATCTGCTCATCCTGGGACTTGGTTAAGGTGCGGGCGACGTGCGAGGTGACCGCGCTGCCCGCGTCGTGCGAGGAGCCAGGAGACGATGTCCACCAGGCAAGCGTTCCTTGGCCGCTGCTCCTGTGGCCTCATCACGCTGATCTCGTCCCGCAGTTCCAAGTATCGCAGACGAAAGTTCTCAGCCAACTCCCGCCAGCTACCAATGCCGACAAGATCTGGCGGCCATCGCCCAACCCCATCGTCGTGCTTGTAGAAGCGGATCGCTCGGCCAGCTGGCGGCCCGTCGAACACCATGATCGTCTTGCCTGCGTTCTCAGTGGGGTCCAGACTCACGGAACACAAAATTCCAAGTCGTTGTCTACCATGTTGTTGAGTCCAGCACGATTCGTGTGAACCCCTTACCCATCATTTCAATTCGTCTTGGAGCAAATCGCTACTTGAGTGTCTTCAACCCCGAAATGGTACACCGTCTGCTTGAGGAGCCTCACCATCCAATGCCCGATCTGGTTCCCACGGCGCCAACTATACCAAGCGCCGTAGAATTTTGATCAAATCGGGGCCATATTGCGCAACGAACATCACTTGGAACGGGTAGGCACCTACGTCCAGTGCAATCCAGCATCGGTTCCCTTCGGGTTCGAGAGCAAACCACTTTGCCAACATTACGTGGAGGGCCCACACATGTGCATGTGTGAGTACCGCAGTTGTGCGCCGCGCCTTCGGTGGAGTTCCTTGAGGGGCCACGACACGTGTGAAAGGTGTGCCGACACGGGTGCGGTGGAGCCACGCGAACCCTGGCAAGGCCTTCGGTGGAGCT